AGTACAGGACAACTTAAACTTAAGTATAGGCTAATAAGAACTCTTATCAGCCAAATACTCGTACATACAAAGACTTCAATCCAACAGAAACAGTTTGCAGGTTTCTTTGATAGTTCCAGGGGTCTTAGGCAGGGAAACCCTCTGTCTCCTCTGTTATTTCTATGTGTAATGGAGATCCTCACTCTTTTCTGTAAGAAGGCTGCTGAGTCAGGGGATTGGGAAGGTTTTGCAATGGTGCCGGGGGGAGAGAAGGTGAACATTTTTCAATTTGCAGATGATACAGTATGTTTTGTGGATGCTTCCCCCTCTCAGGTGGAGCTAATTCTTGGGATCCTCTCTTGGTTTGAAGTGATTAAAGGGTTGAAAGTTAATTGGAATAAGAGCCAAATTATCCCAGTTGGACATGTTTCCAATTTAGCTGAGTGTGCTGGTATTCTGGCTTGTCAGATTGAATCTCTCCCGGTCAAATATTTGGGACTCCCGCTTGGGGTGAGTGGTGGTTCCTCTATTATTTGGGACGCAGTTATTGAGAGATTGGAAAAGAAGCTGATTTCTTGGAAGGCAAAATACCTTTCTTTTGGGGGGAGGGTGACTCTGATTAAGAGTACTCTCTCCACTTTGCCTACCTACTTCCTATCTCTTTTCTCTATTCCTAAGAAGGTGGAAAATCAGATTGAAAAGCTTCAACGGAATTTCCTTTGGAGAGGCTGGGAGGAGGAGAAAAAAGTGCACTTGGTGAGTTGGGAACAAGTCTGTCTTCCCAAATCTGAAGGGGGGTTAGGTATAAGGAAACTGAAATATTTAACTCTGCACTCCTATGTAAATGGATTTGGAGATTTTCTGTAGAATCTAATGCTTGGTGGAGATCTCTCATAGCTAGCAAATATGGTGTGAGTTGGGGAAATTGGAGATCTCAGGACCCCCCTCCTAACTGGGGTAACTCTCTGTGGAAGGGGATAATGAAGCACTTTCCAGAGTTGGCCAGGGGGATCTCAGTTAGGGCTGGTAATGGTAATAGGATCAAATTTTGGAAAGACCCTTGGTGCTCAGATGTTCCTCTTGCTGAATCCTTCCCTCTCATCTTCCAGTGTGCTTCAGACCAAGAGGCCTTGGTTGCTGAGTGCTATAGTATTTCTGGTGATTCTGTTCTTTGGACTCCCTCTTTCCGTAGAAATCTCTTTGATTGGGAGGTGGATAAGGCAGTGAATCTTTTGACCTGTCTACAGTATCAAGAGATGGACTTTAGTATGGAGGATAAGTGGCATTGGAAGTGGAATCCTGATGAGATATTCTCTGTTAAATCTTTGGTGGCTAGGATTGGTAGAAGGGGTGTTCCTGATTTCCCAGTTCAGCAAGTGTGGAATCCTATCARTCCGACTAAAGCCAGTTTCCTTGTTTGGACTATGGCTCTTAACAAATGCCTTTCCAAGGAGAACCTTGTAAGCAGGGGAATTCAGATTTTGGACCAGTCTTGCAGCTT